TAGTAACGCCTTGGGATAAGAAAGTGACACATATATATATATATATATATATATATATATATATATATATATATATATATATATATATATATATATATATATATATATATATATATATATATATATATATATATATACGTGTTGGCTGGTACCAAATTGTTGATTCTTAAGTAAGCATGTTGGCTGGTACTATATTGTTTATTTTTAAGTAAAATGGTAACTTGGGTGCTTATTAAAGGGGTTTAGGTGACTAGGACTAGTTAGAGAAACCCAAGGGGTTAATCTAAGATATTGGGGATGAGCAGGCCAGGGGAAATCTAATAGTAACTTGGGTGCTTATTAAAGGGGTTTAGGTGACTAGGACTAGTTATAGAAACCCAAGGGGTTAATCTAAGATATTGGGGATGAACAGGCCAGGGAAATCTAAAATTTAATTAAATGTTATCGGCTCACTCTGGTCGTTAAGGGCTACGAGCTCTATGCAGGTGCATGAGTGGCACGTAATGATGGTAAGACACCCGCGGTGATTTATGTCTAAAGTTGAATTCGGACATGCCGCTGGACATCCCGGTAGAATCATTACTCATGACCTCTGTAGTGGTCAGTTGTCAGGTGTGAAACGCGGCGGGAGTACCGCGTGGTCGTGCGTTAGCTCGAGCGGTGTATGACACGATCGTTAGCCCTGAGACAACGTGAAGATCTATAGCGGTCAGTTATCGGGTGTGCAACGCATGGGTGCATAGTGACCGGTGTTATCTCGAACGTCGAGAGATGGGACGGAGCCCAACTCGGGTTCTATAGCTCTAGGGAGATGATAAGGGGGCAAGACTAGCCTATAAATGAGGAAGGGCGACTATGTTGAGGTCTCTCTTTTCTCTCACAGACACATAGGCTAGACACCATGGTCTAGGCCTTGGATGGTGGCAGCCTTGAAGGCTGGCCACTAAGGCTGGATTATTGGCCCAGCAGATGTTTTGTTGCTGTACATATGTGTTTCGTTCCAGATATTTACATGTGTGACCTGATGTTTATACATGTGGCCAATGTTGTACCAGTGGCCAAACGTTTGCCGTGTAGATATGTTCTTCGTTCCAGTGGCCATTATCTTTGTGGCCCGATGTTTGTACCAGTGGCCAGAGGTTTTATTCCAGTGGCTGGAAATCTTCCTGCCGTGTAGATATGTTCTTCGTCCAGTGGCCATTATCTTTGTGGCCCGATGTTTGTACCAGTGGCCCAATGTTGTATTACAGTGGCGGGAAATCTCCCTGCCGCTTGAGTGTCGAGCTAGATTGTTGTGAGTACTGATGAGTATTCATAGATGGACTTTAACCGTGTTTGATTAGTGAAATCAGAATTAGCGATGATAACATTTACCCGTGTGGTCCTGGGATTACATAACAGTGCAAGTAGTAAAGTTAGAACTAGAGACGATGACATTTACGTTTTTGATTTTGAGATTACATAGCAGTACAAGTGAAATTAGGACTAGGAAGAATAACTTTGACAAGTGTGATTCTGAGATTACATAAGCAGTGCAAGTAGTTAAGTTAGGACTAGAGGAAAGGACATTCATATGTATAAATTCTGAGTTGTGTAAATGTAGGTTTGCTATCCACACTTATATATGTGTTTTCTATGAATTAATGTCAGTAACTACGGTGAATAATTCTGCATTGAAATGTAAGTTTGATTATTTTTGTCTTTTTGACTAGTATTAGAAATTCAAGTGATGTTTTCTTGAATATAAAAGACTGGCCAGGTCTTATTTGTATTGTGTCTTTGCTTTTAACATATAAACCTTTGTGACGTCAAACAAAGATAAATAAATGCATATTATGTGTGTTTACTATGTTTTATTTTTAGTTTAATATTGGTGTTGTATAGATTTTAATTAGTTTTGCTCAGGTCTTATTAGACCCCTTTGTCACCACGCAAAGGTGCACGGATGAGTGAATAAGATCACCTCTTCGGTTTATCCCCGCCCTAACATTTGGTGTCAGAAATGGGATATAAGATATCTATTTCTCGACGAACCCCTAACATATATATATATACATCTTATGCAGGCCACCACTTAGTTGTATTTTAGATGAAGCCCGTGTAGGTCACAATGTATCCATTAATTAAAAACAAGAACACAGCCAGGTTCTAATGAACATTTGATTTAATTACAGATTTTTATGAAAATACATTCAAATCATTTTGACAATGTTTACATGTGTTCACCATACGGATATAGGAGACTTTGATAGCAATACTGAAGTACATTATTTGATACCATAATATTTGAATACTGAACAGTTGGCTTATGCACAGGTCATAAAAAGACCACCACCACCCCTAATTATATAACAATTCTATGAACCAGCCACACAGCAGGGTGCTTCTAGCACTCTCAAGAGTTTTGAATCACATGGTGTTTGATAAAAATTGTTACATTTTGACATGAGAAAAAAAAAGCTTTGTACTGCGTTAAAAGAAAATCTTTGTTTTCCTATTGTGTTTACCCCGCCATAGTAAAGAGACGTGAAAATAAAAACTGAGACATAACTATGATCTATACCACCACTTTCGCATTATCCCTTGGTCTAATCATTACAGTAATTAGAGTTTTAGAACATCGTGCTTGTTATATTATATTATAAACATACAGCGAAGTTTTCAAAGCTTTGGCTAACAGTCAAACAATGAAAATAGTTTATTTGTTGCGTTTATATGAGGATTTATATAGACATTTAATTAATTGCTTAGCAAGTAGCATAGGCAATAAATAGAAAACACACAACATGCACAGCTGTGTTAAATCAAATCAAAAGAAAATAATTGATTTAAAAACCATAATTGTATACAGCTACATCGATTTTTTTTAATGGGAATTCATGAACGAGCATGGACTAATTTATTTTAATTTCTTCATTAACGTCTTTGATTTTACGACTTTTGAATACGCCAACAATTTGTAATAAAAAAAATTCAAGACAGAATAATTTAAACTTCAGTTAAAAAATGAATTTGCTGAAAAAAAAATAAAATGATCGTATTAAAAAAAAACAACAACAACATTGTATTAAACAAATTCCCAGGCAAGAGAAAGTGGGGCCAAGTTTGCTAACGATGTGTGCCAAGGTCGGCAGTCCTAGCTACACAATCGATTGTATTCTGTCTTCTCTACTTAATACTTATGTCTAATGTATAGTATAGCTTCACTGCTCATTACTCAAAAACCTGCAATCCTAATACAGAACAACCATATAATTATTAAACCATCTCCAATAACGCACTAACACTTTTGATTGGAGTTGTTTGCTAAATGTTAGCAGGATAAACTTGACAATTTTAAAAACAATTTTTTGATTTGCTGGAGAGGGTTTTGAAATTTTGATTTTCAATTGTAGAAATCTGACAATAGATCGCTTCTTTTGTGGTTTGTTGAGTAAAAAAATAAAAACAATAAGAAAAGAACTTTTAGCCCCAGGTCATCGGGAATAACAAAAAAAAATTTAAATAAAAAAAAAGAGGCCGCCATGCTAATTCTTAAGTATGTTTGTTGATTTCTGTATTTGAAAAAAAAAATGCTTTTTTTGTTTGTTTATTACAACTTTTGATTTAACCTCACAAGATATGAAGCGTCAGATCAAAGAAGGATTTATTGATTTAGAGATCCGTAGAGAATCCTAGCATGTAGAATTTTGTAGTTTAATTAAAACAAATTGATTTTTAAGAAGTTTTTTTTTGTGCCCGTCCATAAAGGAATCAGCTAGTATTACTGACTGCTAGCACTGTAGGACAACACATTTTTCAGATCAGTGAAGGGATTAGCATTACCGGTACCAATCGTCATTATAGGCGGCGGAGAAGGGATTGGTTTTTTTTGTCACTATGTTTAGTAGGAGTAGGGATGGGAAAAATGTTTTTTTGGGAGGTTGAGGGGGTTAAAATCGTCTAAGTAGCATAGTGGTCTATAGACTACCTCTTTAGATTTATTTCTGAAGTAGAGGTCTCTACATGTGCTAAAGCTTTTAAGAGGCGATGGAAAAGTTAGCCTTGAAGTGGTGGTCAGCATAGACAAGTAGCATGAACACGAAATATATATATATATATATATATATATATATATATATATATATATATATATATATATATATATATATATATATATATATATATATATATATAGGCCTATATATATATATATATATATATATATATATATATATAGGCCTATATATATATATATATATATATATATATATATATATATATATATATATATATATATATATATATATATATAATAGGAAGTAAATTGATATGCTAAAATATATTTTTCTGGAATTCTGTATTCAGCAAAAGTCCTTCAACACACGGGTAGAGGAATGCAACGGTTAAAAAGTTGAACAATATTAACAATCTACATTGACATGACATAACATGCTGATGACGAAATATTTAGCTATAGGCTACCGTGGTCGTCACGTGATTTTATGCTGCGCGTTCAGTTTGTATCACAGCACAACTGAAACAGGTTTTACACTTCTATATATCGAGTTAATACAGAACATAATTTAACACTAAGCTATCATAATTTAACGATAAACTCCAACAATTTAACACTAAGCTATCATAATTTAACGATAAACTCCAACAATTTTACACTAAGCTATCATAATTTAACGATAAACCCCAACAATTTAACACTAAGCTATCATAATTTAACGATAAACTCCAACAATTCAACACTAAACTATCATAATTTAACGATAAACCCCAACAATTTAACACTAAGCTATCATAATTTAACGATAAACTCCAACAATTTAACACTAAGCTATCATAATTTAACGATAAACCCCAACAATTTAACACTAAGCTATCATAATTTAACGATAAACTCCAACAATTCAACACTAAACTATCATAATTTAACGATAAACCCCAACAATTTTACACTAAGCTATCATAATTTAACGATAAACCCCAACAATTTAACACTAAGCTATCATAATTTAACGATAAACTCCAACAATTCAACACTAAACTAACGCAATTTAACACATATCTAATATCACAACATGGATTTATCACATATAAACGTTTAAATATTATAATTTAACACTCGATTATCACAATGATTTAACAATAAACCATCACATTTTTACTCTGATCTACCACAACTTAACCATTAACTCACACTTTAACACTCATTTATCACAGTTTAACCTGGAGCACTCACAATTTAACACTCAACACTCACAATCAAAATAATTTAAAACTATCTCAATTAAAAACGTATTCCGCGAAATAAACCATAATGAAAAATGAAGACTGAAGCAGTAAAACCTAGGCAAGAATTACAGCGATAAATAAAGGCAAAATCCAATTTAGACACAAATCATAAGCCCCAAGCAGAATATCTTTTTTATGAGTAATTCGGGCATTCATTTTCGACATGCAATAGCATTTGTATCAGCATTATATGACGTCATCATCTGAGGATCATGTAAGCCAGAAGTCCCATTTCAGCGTCATTCCCGTTTGTAACCAATCGCGTCATCGCTTTCAGTACGCTGCTGAAAAGTAGGTCAGAGAATGACAATGTCTAAACTAGCTACCATGAAGCGAGAAATATTTCTTAAATATCTGGGTACGAGATGGAATTGAAATTATAAGACTCAGCTTTTCTTTTTCTTCTTGCCCATTTTTTTCTTTTTGTTCTTTTTTCTTTGTCTTTTCGAACCTTTCAACTTTTTAGTTGCGCCTAATTGTTTTTTGACATGTCCTTTCCTCCCATTCACGTCCGCCACTTTGCTTTTGTTTTCCCCCTTTGCTGCGGAGCTGGGTTTCTGTGATGTCATAATAATATTGTCGCCGACAGGGGGCGTAGCTGTGTCTGGGGCATAGCTCACACACGGAGGTTTAGAGTTGAGGTCCGTGTCGTCTTCTTCTACACACAGTCCATTCACAATGTGCTTGGTATCTGCTTAGGTTTGAAAACAAAATCATTGTTGCAATTTATTTATTTAAATATGAAATATATATATATAAAAAAAACACAACCAACAACCGCAGGTAACGTATCACATCAATTACTAAGAGAGGAGGGGTTTGATGGTCTACCACAGAGGCGTCGCTAGGCGAGGGCGGGGGGCACCGTGTGACACTAATTGGAGGGGGGTGACACCAAGACAAAAATTGCAAAATATATGCTAACTATCGAGGAAACCATGAAACGTCGCTTTGTTCCTTTTAAATTAAAATAATGTATATATATATATATATATATATATATATATATATATATATATATATATATATATATATATATATATATATATATATATATATATATATATATGACCTATAAATTTTTTTATTTGGTGTGCGTGGAGGGGGGGGGGGGGAGAGGAGAAGCGGTGACACCTTGAGGTGCCGTACTTGGCGACACCCGACCTAGCGACGCCACTGGTCTACCATAAACGGTATCACGATTTTGTAGCTGGTTTTAAGCCTTACTCCACCACAATTGGTCATAATTCATCTAATAACATGGCATGGTCAAGCACCGGTTACCAGAAAAAAATGAGCAAATCGGAAAACTGCGCAAACAGAAAAATAAGCTAATGGAAACGAATTATACAAATACACTTTAATTTTTTTCATATTTCGTAAGAGAATGTTTAATTATGCTATAATGTACAAGTTATCATTCTATGCTAAGGTCTTTATATGCTCGATTTAGAAAAAAGTATTCATTTACGCACATTTTTTATGCAGTTTTCCGTTGCGCAATTTTCCGGTCACCCTAGGTAGGTCTACCACGTGAATACCAACAGACCACGTGACCTTGGTGTACACGATTATAAAGACCTATTTCCCGACTTAATTCCTTAGCATCCAGTAGCTTACACATGATCTTTTGCCTCTTCGTAATTCCCCCTCCCCATTTCCAAAGACAGACACCCCCCCCCCCCCCAAGATTATAGAAATCCACTTTCTAAGATGTAATGAAATATATTTCCTCTTTCTGTCCACCAGTATAGGAGTGCAAGAATCTATTCTCTAAGATTTTATGCCCCCCCCCCCCCCCAAGAAATCTAATATTGACTTACTGCCCAAGAATGAGGCGTGTGACCTCTTATCCAAGAACGGCGAGACTTTACACGAGTTGGTCTCATCTTCCAGCCTGGATCCCAGACAGCTGAAGATGAAGACAGCAAGGTGAAGGTAGCGCTGGATCTGATTCGCCATTGGCTGTGTCTGCTAACGGATTGGGTTTCCTTACACGTGGGCGACGGCAGGTCTGAAACGACGAGAAAATATTAAAAAATAAACAAACACAAAATATAAAAAATAAACAAAAGAAATAAAAAAAAAAACAACAAACAAACATGATATAGTGAAATAACGTTGATGCATAAGGAGAAAAAATACCAACAAAGGAAATTAAAATATAGATGTAAAATATATTAAAAGATGATATTTGCAATGACAAAATGAAAAAGTAAACCAATCCTTCAAGCTGTTATTGTGCTTCTGTTTCATGTACTTTGTTGATGCTATTGATGTTGTAAACATAAGTTGTATGCTAGATTTGTATGTGGATGATGTATGCTAGTACACTTGTATCTATATGATGGTGGTGGGTGATAGTATGATGGTGGTGTATGATTGTATGGCAGTGATGTATGATGATGTGGTTTGATTTTTATGATGGTGTGGATTACTGTATTGTGTAAAGTGTTGTATTACGGTGCGGTTATTATAGTATAATGGTGCTGTATGATTATGTTGTATGATGGTGTTGCATGATGGTCCTGTATAATGGTGCTGTTTAATGGTGCTGTATCATGGTGCTGTATGATTGTGTTGTATTATGGTGCTGTATAGTAGTACTGTATGATGGTGCTGTATAGTAGTGCTGTATGATGGTGTTGTATGATGATGATGTATTATGGTGCTGTATAGAGGTTCTGTATGATGGTGTTGTATAGTAGTACTGTATGATGGTGTTGTATGATGATGATGTATTATGGTGCTGTATAAGTGTTCGGTATGATGGTGTTGTATAATGGTGAGGTGTGATAGCGCAGTACAATCACGTGACCGTGTGGTATGAAGATTAAAAAAATAAGACTCCGTCTACACAAAATGTATAAGAAAAAAACGAAGATTTTAAAAACAGAGACACAATTCCAGCTCGGTATTCTAAAAACTCCAGGCCGTCGTGTGAAAGGTTTCTCTACTTTCACAGTTGGACTCCAGACTGTTCGATAAAACAAAAAAAAATATATGGAAGTAGATGACTGGAGAGGGGTGGGCAGCTCAATAGTTCCTTAAGCTTGATATATTCCATCTCTTCCCAAGTACCCAGGCAATCACATTTCGTGATGGGCCATTAAATCAGCACTAAAAGACCGCCGGCCTGGCTTCTCTTCTCTTGGTCAGTGGGTACTTCCGCCTGATACTGGTGTGTGTGTGGGGGTTGGGGGGGGGTGGCACAAATGGCTGTCAGATGAGTGGCTGTCTGGCGTCTGATTTAATACGTTGATGTGGCTTTGTTAAAGATAATCGATGAGGTTAGGGGATTGGCAGTTACGTCACAAGGCGGGGGTGTGGACAGCACCGGGTGACACCATCCAGACGGGTGACACCATCCAAACGGGTGACACCATCCAAACGGGTGACACCATCCAAACGGGTGACACCATCCAAACGGGTGACACCATTCAAACGGGTGACACCATCATAACGGGTGACACCAAATGTAGCTAATTTCAAGGAAAAAAAACCTACTTTATCAGTTAGTTAAAAAGACTTCCTTAAATTTTTTATATTACGCGCATGGTATCGCCATCTGGGATAGGCATTGCATCGAGTTGCTTATGGCTTTTGTAAAATAAAATACATTTAGTATTTGGTGGGGAGCAGGGGGGGGGGAGGGGGCACCCTGGGTCACCGCACTGAGTGTCACCCTACCCAGTGACGCATTTGAAGCTTTGTACTCAGGCTATCATAGACTAAGTACAGATGAACGCCAAATACAAAATAATATAAACACTTCATCAGTAGGCAGACGTTCATATTAGTGCATATTAGTATTCAACGAGTACATGCTAGTAAGGGGTATGGACGTATGGAAATGACATGGAAGAAAAAAGTGAGAAAATTGTGGGATGGCCTGTAAGAGGAAGTTGTAGGGTGTTGTTTATGTCGGTAGTTTCCTGAGGATCATATTCCGTTACAGCCATGAAGTTATGTGTTATTGCGCAACGAAATCCAGAAATCAATAGACGGGGATGATCATGATAGAATGGTTTTGGTGTGGTATTATAGCTGTGGGCGGTCTGTGATAGAGCCAGCCATGGGACATGTAGGCAGACATTAGCTGTGTACAGCCATGTAGGCAGACATTAGCTGTGTACAGCCATGTAGGCAGACATTAGCTGTGTACAGCCATGTAGGCAGACATTAGCTGTGTACAGCCATGTAGGCAGACATTAGCTGTGTACAGCCATGTAGGCAGACATTAGCTGTGTACAGCCATGTAGGCAGACATTAGCTGTGTACAGCCATGTAGGCAGACATTAGCTGTGTACAGCCATGGGACGTGTAGGCAGACATTAGCTGTGTACAGCCATGGGACATGTAGGCAGACATTAGCTGTGTACAGCCATGTAGGCAGACATTAGCTGTGTACAGCCATGTAGGCAGACATTAGCTAGGTACAGCCATGGGGCATGTAGGCAGACATTAGCTGTGTACAGCCATGTAGGCAGACATTAGCTGTGTACAGCCATGGGACATGTAGGCAGACATTAGTTGTGTACAGCCATGTAGGCAGACATTAGCTGTGTACAGCCATGTAGGCAGACATTAGCTGTGTACAGCCATGGGACATGTAGGCAGACATTAGCTGTGTACAGCCATGTAGGCAGACATTAGCTGTGTACAGTCATGTAGGCAGACATTAGTTGTGTACAGCCATGTAGGCAGACATTAGCTGTGTACAGCCATGTAGGCAGACATTAGCTGTGTACAGCCATGTAGGCAGACATTAGCTGTGTACAGCCATGGGACATGTAGGCAGACATTAGCTGTGTTCAGCCATGGGACATGTAGGCAGACATTAGCTGTGTACAGCCATGGGACATGTAGGCAGACATTAGCTGTGTTCAGCCATGGGACATGTAGGCAGACATTAGCTAGGTACAGCCATGTAGGCAGACATTAGCTGTGTACAGCCATGGGACATGTAGGCAGACATTAGCTGTGTTCAGCCATGGGACATGTAGGCAGACATTAGCTGTGTACAGCCATGTAGGCAGACATTAGCTGTGTACAGCCATGGGACATGTAGGCAGACATTAGCTGTGTACAGCCATGTAGGCAGACATTAGCTGTGTACAGCCATGGGACATGTAGGCAGACATTAGCTGTGTACAGCCATGTAGGCAGACATTAGCTGTGTACAGCCATGGGACATGTAGGCAGACATTAGTTGTGTACAGCCATGTAGGCAGACATTAGCTGTGTACAGCCATGTAGGCAGACATTAGTTGTGTACAGCCATGGGACATGTAGGCAGACATTAGCTGTGTACAGCCATGTAGGCAGACATTAGCTGTGTACAGTCATGTAGGCAGACATTAGTTGTGTACAGCCATGTAGGCAGACATTAGCTGTGTACAGCCATGTAGGCAGACATTAGCTGTGTACAGCCATGGGACATGTAGGCAGACATTAGCTGTGTACAGCCATGTAGGCAGACATTAGCTGTGTACAGCCGTGGGACATGTAGGCAGACATTAGCTGTGTACAGCCATGTAGGCAGACATTAGCTGTGTACAGCCATGGGACATGTAGGCAGACATTAGTTGTGTACAGCCATGTAGGCAGACATTAGCTGTGTACAGTCATGTAGGCAGACATTAGTTGTGTACAGCCATGTAGGCAGACATTAGTTGTGTACAGCCATGTAGGCAGACATTAGCTGTGTACAGCCATGTAGGCAGACATTAGCTGTGTACAGCCATGGGACATGTAGGCAGACATTAGCTGTGTTCAGCCATGGGACATGTAGGCAGACATTAGCTGTGTACAGCCATGGGACATGTAGGCAGACATTAGCTGTGTTCAGCCATGGGACATGTAGGCAGACATTAGCTAGGTACAGCCATGTAGGCAGACATTAGCTGTGTACAGCCATGGGACATGTAGGCAGACATTAGCTGTGTTCAGCCATGGGACATGTAGGCAGACATTAGCTGTGTACAGCCATGGGACATGTAGGCAGACATTAGCTGTGTACAGCCATGTAGGCAGACATTAGCTGTGTACAGCCATGTAGGCAGACATTAGCTAGGTACAGCCATGTAGACAGACATTAGCTGTGTAGAGTCATGTAGGCAGACATTAGTTGTGTACAGCCATGGGACATGTAGGCAGACATTAGCTGTGTACAGCCATGTAGGCAGACATTAGCTGTGTACAGTCATGTAGGCAGACATTAGTTGTGTACAGCCATGGGACATGTAGGCAGACATTAGCTGTGTACAGCCATGTAGGCAGACATTAGCTGTGTACAGCCATGGGACATGTAGGCAGACATTAGTTGTGTACAGCCATGTAGGCAGACATTAGCTGTGTACAGCCATGTAGGCAGACATTAGCTGTGTACAGCCATGTAGGCAGACATTAGCTGTGTACAGCCATGTAGGCAGACATTAGCTGTGTACAGCCATGTAGACAGACATTAGCTGTGTACAGCCATGTAGGCAGACATTAGCTGTGTACAGCCATGTAGGCAGACATTAGCTGTGTACAGCCATGTAGGCAGACATTAGCTGTGTACAGCCATGTAGGCAGACATTAGCTGTGTACAGCCATGTAGGCAGACATTAGCTGTGTACAGCCATGGGGCATGTAGGCAGACATTAGCTGTGTACAACCATGGGACATGTAGGCAGACATTAGTTGTGTACAGCCATGTAGGCAGACATTAGCTGTGTACAGTCATGTAGGCAGACATTAGTTGTGTACAGCCATGGGACATGTAGGCAGACATTAGCTGTGTACAGCCATGTAGGCAGACATTAGCTGTGTACAGCCATGGGACATGTAGGCAGACATTAGTTGTGTACAGCCATGTAGGCAGACATTAGCTGTGTACAGCCATGTAGGCAGACATTAGCTGTGTACAGCCATGTAGGCAGACATTAGCTGTGTACAGCCATGGGACATGTAGGCAGACATTAGCTGTGTTCAGCCATGTAGGCAGACATTAGCTGTGTACAGCCATGT